ACACATTGACTTACCCATTTTTGAAATATATTTTTGTTGTCTCACATACTGAGTTCCGAGTTCCAGGACCCCTGAATCCCGAAACCTGGCAGTCCACAATTTCGGGGTTCGGGGGTTGGTAAAATGTGTATGGATATATGAAGGGTTGATTTAAACATTTTTAAAAGATGTCTCATATCAAATGTCAAGTCCCAAGTTTTGATTTCCGGGTTTCGGGAGTGCCGAGTGCCGAAGCCCGGAGTCCTGAAACCCGGAGTCACAAAACCCGGAAATCAAAACTCAGGACTTGACATTTGATATGAGACATCTTTCAAAAATGTTTAAATCAACCTTTCATATATCCATACACATTTTACCAACCCCCAAACCCTGAAATTGTGGACTGCCGGGTTTCAGGGGTCTCGGAACTCAGAACTCGGTATGTAGGACAACAAAAATATCTTTCGGGGTTCGGGGGTTAGTGAAATGTTTATAGATATACGTAGGTTAATTCAAACATGTCTGAAAAATTTTGTTCATCTCAAATGTCAAATCCTGAGTTCCGGGTTTCGGGACTCGGCACCCGGCACCCAGCACTTGGGGTTTGGCACTGAAAATTTGACATTCGGGTGTTCGGGTTTTGGGTGATATCTAAATCACAACAGCTTCGAGTTCTGCCAAAGCGTGAAACTTGAAACCCAGTGTGCAACATGTTGATTTTTCATTTATATCACACAAATCATCGAGTTCCGAGTGCCAAGTGCCGAGACCCAAAGCCCGAGACCCGAAAATATGTACACAACATGTCCATTTTTCACTCACTGCACAAATCACCGAGTTTCGAGTGCCAAAGCGTGAAACTTGAAACCCAGTGTGCAACATGTTGATTTTTCATTTATATCACACAAATAACCAAGTGCCGAGTGCCAAGTGCCGAAGCCCAAAGCCCGAGACCCGAAAATATGTATATAACATTTCCATTTTTCACTTGTTGCACAAATCACTGAGTTTCAAGTGCCGAAACCCGAAACTCGAAACCCAGTGTGCAACATGTTCATTGTTCATTTACATTACACAGATCATTGAGTGCCAAGGGCCGAATACTGAAACCCGAAGCCCGAAAACATGTATGCCACATGCCCATCTACTCATTGCACAAATCACCAAGTGTCAAGTGCCGAAACCCGAAACGCGGTACTTCAAATGGACATGAATTCTGTCTTTGTATGTATTATCCATTGGTGTAGGGTTGAAATAACTTGGGAATTGTATTTGTCAGTGCTCGGTAGTTGGTAGTTGGTGGTTGGTAGTCAATATAGGCAAATGATAATGAAAAATGAAAGTTGTTATTACACTTAACTTCCTTACCGAAGGTTGTAGTCTGAGTCTAGGGGAGTGTATTGGTAGTCTTTTCTTGTCCATCAGTTATCATTTAACCGAGATATAAGCTAAAGAAATCTGAAACATCAGCGATAATGAAAAAATGAAAGTTATTATTATGAGGAAGTGAAATGGGTAAGAAATTGAGTGTGGGAAACTTCAAAGACCCAAAGCATCGAAAATGGTTAGTTGAGCAGTGGTAGGACTTTAATGCTGGGTCAACTCATATTTTCACTATATCCCTTCTACCCATCCCCTACCCTCAGGGCAGTAGGCAGTATGCGTTCCTTGGGTAGTTTATGATCTATCCTACATATTTGTAATGATATTTTCGGCCTGAATCATATATAAATGTGACTTGGTATAAAAGATGTCTATTGTCACTCTCCACACATATGTCATTTTGCCTATCATTACATCAATCCTTCATGAATCTTTCTAGGCTTTTAAGCTATTATAATGGATGTATATGGGTGTTATTCCAGGTCTCTCATCACATCACAGGCTTGTTATGTTGGATATCTTGACATAATGTGCAAGTCTTGCTATTAATATTCATTCTTTTATCTTTACACTCACTTACTGCACACATGTATTTCATTTGTCATTATTGATGTTTCAGATTTCTTTAGCTTATATCTCGGTCACATGGTAACCAATGAATGAGAAAAGACTACAAATAAACTCACCTAGACTCGGACTACAACCTTCATTAAGCTGACTACTGATTCCCGGGTACCGAGTATCAAAACCAAATACTGAGTACCAATTACCATGTACCGAGTACTGCATAATGAGTAACAAGATAACCAATTGACAAGAAAAGACTACCACTACACTCACCTGGACTTGGACTACAACCTTCGGTAAGGAAGTTAAGCATAATAACAACTTTCATTTTTTCATTATTGCTGATGTTTTGCTGAATGACAAGGAAAGACTACCAAGACACTCACCTTGATGTGGACTACAACTGTCATTTTTCATTATCATTTGCCTATATCGACTACCGAGTCTCGAGTACCGACCACTGACCACCGATCACTGAGTACTGACAAATACAATTCGTGTCCATGTGAAGTACTGGGTTTCAGGTTTCGACACTCGACACTTGGTGATTTGTGCAACAAGTGAAAAATGGACATGTTGTGTACATGATTTTGGGTTTCGGGCTTCGGGTCTCGGCCTTTGGCACTCGGAACTCGATGATCCATGTAATGTAAATGAAAAATGGACATGTTGCACACTGGGGATTGAGTTTCGGGTTTTGGCACTTGATACTTGGTGATTTGTGCAGTGAGTGAAAAATGGACATGTTGTGCACATATTTTCGGGGTTCGGGGTTCGGCCCTCGGAACTCGATGACTTGTGTAATATAATTGAACAATGGACATGTTGCACACCAGGTTTCAAGTTTCGGGTTTCGGCACTTGAAACTCGGTGATTTGTGCAACAAGTGAAAGATGGAAATGTTGCATACATATTTTCGGGTCTCGGGCTTTGGGTCTTGGCCTTCGGCACTCGGAACTCGATGATCTATGTAATGTAAATGAAAAATCAACATGTTGCACACTGGGTTTCAAGTTTCATGCTTTGGCACTCGAAACTCGGTGATTTGTGCAGTGAGTGAAAAATGGACATGTTGTGCACATATTTTCGGGGTTCAGATTTCGGCTCTCGGCTCTCGGAACTTGATGACTTGTGTAATATAATTGAACAATGGACATGATGCACACTGGGTTTTGAGTTTCGGGTTTCGGCACTCGAAACTTGGTGATATGTGCAATGAGTAAGAAATGGACATGTTCCATACATATTTTCGGGTTTTGGGCTTCGGGTTTCAGCACTCAGCACTCGGAACTCGATGATCTGTGTAATGTAAATGAACAATCGACATGTTGCACACTGGGTTTCGAGTTTTGGGTCTCGGCACTCGAAACTCGGTGATTTGTGCAGTGAGTGAAAAATGGACATGTTGAACAATGGGTTTCAGGGTCTCGGATTTGAAAAATAGCATAATAACAACTTTCATGTTTTCATTATCATTTGCCTATATTGACTACCAAGTCCAATAAGGGACCCCTTGGATGATCCATTGCTCAATGAAATACTACCTGATTGGAAGTGTGCTGGTTATCAGATATTCATTTGTCAACTCCTGGGTCCTGGAACTCAGAAGTCAGTACGGTTGACCCAAATTTGGGTGGTTGGAACTTGGCATCTCATAGGGCAACACAAGCTTCGCACCCCGTATTCCAAATTCTGCAAGACAACCTGTGCACCATCAAAGGCCATGTCAGGAGATCACCTGCTGCTCCGGGAACTTGGTAACTTTGATTTATTACCTCCTCTGATTTGGTTGATGTACAACTACCTCAGCTCCATCATGTCTACAATTATGATACACATGGGCCCACCCATCTATATTTTATACCACCCTCAGCCCACCCGTCTAATTAATATGTGTCTGGGCCCACCCGTCTAATACAATATTTTATATTACCCTCGGCCCACCCGTCTAATTTAATATGTGTCTGGGCCCACCCATGAATGTGATAACAAGTACCTACCCATCTATCTCATACACATCTACCTTAATACACCCATCTGCATAATATCCAACTACCTCGGCCCACCCATCTACCTAATATTCATGTACATCGGCCCACTCATCTACTCTATATAGTCCCTGCATGGGCCCACCCACCTCCATCGGGAATAATTTGCCTCCCGGCCCATCCGTCATAGTCGAGGATATTTTTATCATGGGCCCATGGTCTGCTGGCCTGTATCATGCGGGATATTATGCACATCCGTTCCCTCATATTATACAGAGATAGGTCACTGTAATATGTGTTATAACAACAGAAACTTTATGGCTGTACCAGATATACCATACGTTTCTTTGTTGGCGCTCGACGAATTTTCAAGGTCGAAAACTGAGTCGCGCATATGATGTTATTATGTTTGCACTTACCGACATGTACGACAACCCGGAGTTGTACCCCAAGTTCCAGGAAGCGGTGAAGGCACTGCCATTCATCAGGTTGGTGTCCTTTGCATGACTCTTGGCCTTACTTATCATACGTACTCATGATCAGTGCTGAACATGTCTTTCCAATGCACCCCAAGGAATTATGCCCGAAAATATGCCCGGAATTGGGACGAGCAAAGCACATAGATGAGATTCCAGACACTATCCTTCAGATAAATGATAACCCACTGGGTCTTCCCAATTCCATGTTCACATTCCTGCGCTCGCAAAGGCCTCGGCGAGAAGTGGATGAGTCATCCATCAGGAATGGGGAGTCATCTTGACTTGTAATACGTCACACGATATATCAATACATTTTCAAGGGTGTAGGATTCAAATCGAGTTATCAGTAATGTACTCCGAATGAGCCTTACTGCGCATAGTGTGATTTGATGTTCAGCAGGGCTAGATCTGCCTCAACCATAGGAGCAAGGTGATCCCCAGCTCAAAGGCTAGAACACCTGACCACGCAAGGTTGGACATTGGTTTCAGGAGCAGACGCTCCTCTGTGCCAGATAGCCCATTGTCCAAAGTGTGTAGGCGGCCTGACCACATAAAGTTGAACATTGGCTTCAGGAGCAGATGCTCCTCTGTGCCAGATAGCCCAATGTCCAAAGTGTGTCGGCAGCCTGACCACGCAAACTTGAACATTGGCTTCAGGAGCAGACACTCCTCTGTGCCAGATGGCCCAATGTCCAAAGTGTGTTGGCAGCCTAACTACGCAAACTTGAACATTGGCTTCAGGAGCAGACGCTCCTCTGTGCCAGATGGCCCAATGTCCAACGCGTGTAAGCAGGAGCAAGGCGATCCTTAGCTCGAAGGCTAGAAAGCCTAACTGCGCAAAGTTGCAGAGCAGACACTCAAAAGCTTCGATCAAACAAATTTTGATTGTTTAGTATTGTTTGCAGCTATATACCAATACGGCTCAGAACTGCAGGTAATTCCCACACTCAATCAATCTGCTTCGTAACTTAGCCCCTTTCTGAGAAACTCAGCATTTTTCTAAACATGTCTCGTATCAATCATACCACCTGCATGGGGTCGCTACCAGTGAAAGGTAGAAAGGCTCTGGTAAGTAATGTTCGCGATCGGTGGCGGGTAGTTAACGATTTTATCAGACACAAGTTGACGTCTGGTTCGATTCAGTAAGTCCATGAGGCTACAACCGCCGGTGGCTTACCCAAATTATTCAGCGACTCACCCAATCAGGTGTCGCTCCACGTCGTCTGACGAGGATCAGAACTCAGTTACTCCGTGCCGTAAACAAAGCAAAAGCAATGCTTCGCGTAAGTATTGCGATTTTTGTTACTCACCTTCTTAGCTTCAACTGACCGATAATTTAAGGAATTTGCTTCGTCATCATGATAACGGCCCTAGCATTCTCCAGACTCCTCGGGGGAGTACTTACTGTACCATCACCACCATCATCACAAGCTATATTCCTTTTCTACATGCTACAGGTACTGTTCCCAAACCATCCAATTACCTATATTGGTACATACGCCGATCATCACACTATGATACCACTCACACTTGTAATACCCATCATGATCCGATCATCTATGACTACATGCATGTATCATACTCTACCATACCATATACGCCTGTTATCTATTGCTGTGGTGCTATGTCCTATGTAGGCATGCGCGTGTTTACTAATTATATTCATGCCTCACAATCAGGGTTCAGCAGAGCCATTATGATAAATCTAATTCCATCATCGTGTGAAAATTCACCTTGAACATGACCACAGCAGTATGTTCAATTTTGACTGTCAAAGTTATGTGCGTGCTTACTCTATCATGCTAGACCCCAACAAGGTTCGATCAACAGATGCTGCTTAAGCATAGTGTCCCTATTTGGCCGATGCAGTTATGGTGCTATACTGAAATGCCACAACTGTAAGCATATTCATACGGACGACTTGATTCACGGTTCTAAACAACAAATATAGGGTACCTGTAGTATGTGATTATAACGTGCAGATGATGCAAGTCGACCCATCTAGGTTTGTCACCCTATTTCCGAATGTGACATTTTAACCGCAGCATCAACAGGCGCAAGGTGCGTGGGGATTGGGAAGAGTGTATTCACCTGTCGGGGGCTACATATCATTACAATGGCAAAATGGTGAGTATCGACTGGATTTACGAGCAACGTGCTCACTGTTACAGGGATCTGTAACACCTACTAGAGCCCCAGCTCTCCCTACGCCTGCCCCCGCTCTGCTAGACTCCCCGCGCGGCGGTGCGCCGCCTGCGCCTAGAAAGACAGCGGTCTGGACCGCTATGACCCCGCCTGACGCTATGACCCCGCCCCTGGCCTAGACGGCCTTGTACCTGTTCCATGGAGGCTGTACGCCTCATGGACACCCTAGATCAGCGCATGTATACAGCATGTCGCTTCATGAAGATCCGGAGCGCTTCTACGCGCCTTATGTTGATTGCGCAGTCGCACTTGGCGCTGCATGTATGATCAGAGGCTAAGCCTCATGTATGCTATCTCTCCTCATGTCTAGTTATCTTAGATTACCGATATACTATAGATTACAGACTGAGCTAGAATAACCTGTAGTTAACACTATAAGAGTAGATACATTGTTGTAGATTAAGCTTCACTTTAATCTACTAGGTTCATCCCCAGAACTTGCTCATCTAAGCCTACCAGCTTCCTTGTGTGAGACCGCACTTCTAAGTCGCCCCCATATGACTTAGCACGTATCCGCTAGCCCTGCATCTCGACGGGCGCCGTCTTACCGAGATCGCCGGAGGAATCCTTGACGTTCCGTCAAGGCCAGACCACGCTCAGCTTCAGTAGACTCACTCGAGTCGTCGCTGAGAAGACCTATCCTAGTTCGCACACGCCGACCTACAGTCGACGTAACACTCACTTTATATAGAATACGTTCACAGAAATGAACATAAGAGCTTGTTCGGACGACCAGCTTCAAAGGCTCGAATCTTGGATCCACGCATCAAGACTCAAAATCAACGATGAACACTGGTTGTTAGTTGTCAAGCCGATCTTAGCTAGAGGGGAGGAGGTCTACCCATATTACTGTGTGGTCCCGAAAAATCGCATCATTACCTGGCTGGAACCGGTGGATGCTTACCTTCTTTTCCAGGAATGTACGACGGTGTCACATTGGAATCACAAAAGTATGTTTCCATTTCGTGTTTTGTTGCTTTTACCAGACCTTGCAGGACTTGAACTTGAGGCCCAATTCTGGTGAGTGATCAACTCGTCCTGATGGAAGCGAACCGATTCGAAAGTTTCTCACTGCGTAACCAGGAAACACGTCGAATATTTTCCAAGCAGGGTTTCAATGAGTCTCCTGGAAGTAAGAGAATTACGGCTTCAATTGAACTGGTATCGCATAGGTCAGTTCTGTGGTATTGGTATATCCGATCAGATTGACCTGAGCATGTAACAGAAGTGTTAGTATTAGAAAACTCTACAGCAGCTTCATTATTTTGGACGTTGGACCAAATGAAGGAAATGCTCGCTGAGCTAGCTATTGCCGGTATGCACCCTCAACAAGATCTACATTTCAAGTCGATGACCAAAGGATAGAGGAGCTTGCAGGACCTGATGGGGCGATGAGGGAACCGAGTATCGCAATCTGTGGTGCGTAAACCATAGAACAACGGAGAATTGCAAACTTATCTCGTTCATCACTGACAGGCAAATTGTTGCATTTACTCCATAGGATGACACTTTCTCCATACCAAATGTCATCGATTGAACAGTCAATAAAGGGCATCACCAATACTTGAACCACTATGGCCAGCCCGAAGCTTGCTTAATGCGAACACATTCACTGGGCAAGAGACGTAGGGATCTAGAACATTCTCCCCTCATGACTGGTATTGCAGTCACAATGTTTTGGATTCCAATAATGGTGCTCAAACGCCTCAGAAGCATTTACATTGATGGCCTCGTAAATGGGGTAGACATAAAGGGATTCACGGATGACTTCAGCGTTCAGGCTAAAGCTCAAACCACTGTGGTAAGTGTGTCATATCATGGGCCTAAACGAGAACACTCACCACTTAACCCACTTTTATAGGCAAGTGTCATTCTGGCAGTCAATGCCTCCATTCTCGCCATCCCGGGTCTAGGCACACAAATCGCCACAAAGACGTTATGCTCCATCTCCTTCATATTTAGTGTCTACTGTATCCTTGGGTGCACGATAGCACAAAACTTCGGCCATAGGCTGAGATCCCTTGATTTTGTGGTTCGATTAAATTCGTAGTTTTTGCAACATAAACCTAATGTCACCGACTCAATAGGTGTACTACCTGCAAGGGAAGATGGTCAGTCTTGTGTTTCTTACAAGCATACTGAGTTTTTTGTATCTGATAAGGTAACTAAGGTTTGATTGTAATCGATTATCACTCACAGGACTGCCACAGTTTGGCATTTTCCATCCTTGGGTTTCTTGCTGGTATCTTTACAGTTGATTTTGGGCTACCCTTGTCCGCAAAGATAGGCTGCGGGCTGGCCCTCGTTGCGGGAGGGGGCCTTATACTTCCATTGATGATGGCCAGTTTTGGTCCTGGATTGATTTGATAACGAGCAACGACCCTCACTCGATATGAACGAACCTGGAGACTGAGACCAAGCAGAAGTAGTGCCAGCTGATCACATCACCTTCCCCCGTACTAGTGAATTTGCGATATCGAGAGTCAGGACATTCATGTTTGACGCTTGACATTCCTTTTTTTTAATTACATTTTCGACACATTTAATCAATATTAGTAACTACGGATCCGGAAAAATAGCTATTTTGTTTGATCTTGACTACGCTCAATGAATAGGCAGCCAATGAATGTTGAGCTTGGGTTTGTAATCACACGTGACTCTGATACTGCCCGCACTTGCTTAGATCCAGATATCTGGTCTGTGCGCGCGCACTACATACTATTTACAATAAGTGCATTGATTTGGATGCTGCACAGCACGCTGCACATGTGTTGACCTAGTACTTACTGGCACCTCTATATGTAATCAGCGTTGTCAGGACAGTACTAGTGAGTCATTGAACCCTGACATATATATAATTTTAAAACCTAGATTCTTGCGATCACGAGACTCGATGTTTATATTAGAAACCTGGCCAGTGGTAGCATTCATCCACAAGCTGTTGCACGATCACCATTGCTGTCAGGGTTGCCCAGATACACCCCCCCTTCAGCTCATGTGCAACTCAGGTGTCAAGGTATGTGATGAGAAGAATCATAATTTATCTAAGATGTCACCCAGATCACGAGTGCTCATGACATGCTGTGACTCGCATGAATTTGAGGCTTCAAGAAGCAACATTTCTGCGCCTGCACATTTCGACTCAAGTATACAGCATGTGCCACATGCTCATTTTTGATGGCCAGACTCTTTTTTAACCAGCCAGACCTTTTGTGATACAACGGCCAAACTTTTTTGATGGCCGTCTAGTTTTAGATTAAGTTGCCCTTTCAAGCATTCAGTCGCCGCTACAAATGAATTGCGTGGAACTTTGATAGAGCAGAATAACTGGACCAACGTGACAGAGCGTCTTAAGTTGAAAATTCTAATGTCGACCTGTCTTTCGCCCTTACAGCTGTTTGATAACTCAGCTTATCGTACAGACGTTTTTCAACTCTCAAACTCGCTAGGTATTGGATTGCTGGATGCCTACATAGGACTCATAACAAATGACAAGGCCGGTCCACGATTTTACTGCATTTGTTTGCATGTCTTGAAAATTTTCTACACAGCTCCAGACTGAATTAAGCGTTCTATCCTTTTTGCTCAAAGATCGTGTCTATCCCGGTGATCTTTGGAAAATCATTGGGGAGCGCACTATCGAAGTAAAGCAGGAGGTGATGTTAATTCAACACCAGAGCACCTGCATTGGTGGATCAAAGGGGAAAAGGCATGTAATGATAGAGCATCTTCTCATGGAGGAGAGGAAGAAACGGGGCCAGATGGAGGTGTCTCTGTATAGCCAGGCCATTGAACACTTGCAGCAACACCGGCTGCATAAGCTTGTCAACTTTGGCACATAAATTATTAGTCTGAACCCTATTGTGTCCAGGTATGCACGACATGATGACTTTCTCAACAACTTCGAGATGTGTTGGACCCTGCGCATCCCCATTCTGTTCAACAGCTACGCGAAATAAATGCGATGCTTGGTTAAAGAGACCACACAGCACATATTACAGTGACCTATCTCTGTATAATATGAGGGAACGGATGTGCATAATATCCCGCATGATACAGGCCAGCAGACCATGGGCCCATGATAAAAATATCCTCGACTATGACGGATGGGCCGGGAGGCAAATTATTCCCGATGGAGGTGGGTGGGCCCATGCAGGGACTATATAGAGTAGATGAGTGGGCCGATGTACATGAATATTAGGTAGATGGGTGGGCCGAGGTAGTTGGATATTATGCAGATGGGTGTATTAAGGTAGATGTGTATGAGATAGATGGGTAGGTACTTGTTATCACATTCATGGGTGGGCCCAGACACATATTAAATTAGACGGGTGGGCCGAGGGTAATATAAAATATTGTATTAGACGGGTGGGCCCAGACACATATTAATTAGACGGGTGGGCTGAGGGTGGTATAAAATATAGATGGGTGGGCCCATGTGTATCATAATTGTAGACATGATGGAGCTGAGGTAGTTGTACATCAACCAAATCAGAGGAGGTAATAAATCAAAGTTACCAAGTTCCCGGAGCAGCAGGTGATCTCCTGACATGGCCTTTGATGGTGCACAGGTTGTCTTGCAGAATTTGGAATACGGGGTGCGAAGCTTGTGTTGCCCTATGAGATGCCAAGTTCCAACCACCCAAATTTGGGTCAACCGTACTGACTTCTGAGTTCCAGGACCCAGGAGTTGACAAATGAATATCTGATAACCAGCACACTTCCAATCAGGTAGTATTTCATTGAGCAATGGATCATCCAAGGGGTCCCTTATTGGACTTGGTAGTCAATATAGGCAAATGATAATGAAAACATGAAAGTTGTTATTATGCTATTTTTCAAATCCGAGACCCTGAAACCCATTGTTCAACATGTCCATTTTTCACTCACTGCACAAATCACCGAGTTTCGAGTGCCGAGACCCAAAACTCGAAACCCAGTGTGCAACATGTCGATTGTTCATTTACATTACACAGATCATCGAGTTCCGAGTGCTGAGTGCTGAAACCCGAAGCCCAAAACCCGAAAATATGTATGGAACATGTCCATTTCTTACTCATTGCACATATCACCAAGTTTCGAGTGCCGAAACCCGAAACTCAAAACCCAGTGTGCATCATGTCCATTGTTCAATTATATTACACAAGTCATCAAGTTCCGAGAGCCGAGAGCCGAAATCTGAACCCCGAAAATATGTGCACAACATGTCCATTTTTCACTCACTGCACAAATCACCGAGTTTCGAGTGCCAAAGCATGAAACTTGAAACCCAGTGTGCAACATGTTGATTTTTCATTTACATTACATAGATCATCGAGTTCCGAGTGCCGAAGGCCAAGACCCAAAGCCCGAGACCCGAAAATATGTATGCAACATTTCCATCTTTCACTTGTTGCACAAATCACCGAGTTTCAAGTGCCGAAACCCGAAACTTGAAACCTGGTGTGCAACATGTCCATTGTTCAATTATATTACACAAGTCATCGAGTTCCGAGGGCCGAACCCCGAACCCCGAAAATATGTGCACAACATGTCCATTTTTCACTCACTGCACAAATCACCAAGTATCAAGTGCCAAAACCCGAAACTCAATCCCCAGTGTGCAACATGTCCATTTTTCATTTACATTACATGGATCATCGAGTTCCGAGTGCCAAAGGCCGAGACCCGAAGCCCGAAACCCAAAATCATGTACACAACATGTCCATTTTTCACTTGTTGCACAAATCACCAAGTGTCGAGTGTCGAAACCTGAAACCCAGTACTTCACATGGACACGAATTGTATTTGTCAGTACTCAGTGATCGGTGGTCAGTGGTCGGTACTCGAGACTCGGTAGTCGATATAGGCAAATGATAATGAAAAATGACAGTTGTAGTCCACATCAAGGTGAGTGTCTTGGTAGTCTTTCCTTGTCATTCAGCAAAACATCAGCAATAATGAAAAAATGAAAGTTGTTATTATGCTTAACTTCCTTACCGAAGGTTGTAGTCCAAGTCCAGGTGAGTGTAGTGGTAGTCTTTTCTTGTCAATTGGTTATCTTGTTACTCATTATGCAGTACTCGGTACATGGTAATTGGTACTCAGTATTTGGTTTTGATACTCGGTACCCGGGAATCAGTAGTCAGCTTAATGAAGGTTGTAGTCCGAGTCTAGGTGAGTTTATTTGTAGTCTTTTCTCATTCATTGGTTACCATGTGACCGAGATATAAGCTAAAGAAATCTGAAACATCAATAATGACAAATGAAATACATGTGTGCAGTAAGTGAGTGTAAAGATAAAAGAATGAATATTAATAGCAAGACTTGCACATTATGTCAAGATATCCAACATAACAAGCCTGTGATGTGATGAGAGACCTGGAATAACACCCATATACATCCATTATAATAGCTTAAAAGCCTAGAAAGATTCATGAAGGATTGATGTAATGATAGGCAAAATGACATATGTGTGGAGAGTGACAATAGACATCTTTTATACCAAGTCACATTTATATATGATTCAGGCCGAAAATATCATTACAAATATGTAGGATAGATCATAAACTACCCAAGGAACGCATACTGCCTACTGCCCTGAGGGTAGGGGATGGGTAGAAGGGATATAGTGAAAATATGAGTTGACCCAGCATTAAAGTCCTACCACTGCTCAACTAACCATTTTCGATGCTTTGGGTCTTTGAAGTTTCCCACACTCAATTTCTTACCCATTTCACTTCCTCATAATAATAACTTTCATTTTTTCATTATCGCTGATGTTTCAGATTTCTTTAGCTTATATCTCGGTTAAATGATAACTGATGGACAAGAAAAGACTACCAATACACTCCCCTAGACTCAGACTACAACCTTCGGTAAGGAAGTTAAGTGTAATAACAACTTTCATTTTTCATTATCATTTGCCTATATTGACTACCAACCACCAACTACCAACTACCGAGCACTGACAAATACAATTCCCAAGTTATTTCAACCCTACACCAATGGATAATACATACAAAGACAGAATTCATGTCCATTTGAAGTACCGCGTTTCGGGTTTCGGCACTTGACACTTGGTGATTTGTGCAATGAGTAGATGGGCATGTGGCATACATGTTTTCGGGCTTCGGGTTTCAGTATTCGGCCCTTGGCACTCAATGATCTGTGTAATGTAAATGAACAATGAACATGTTGCACACTGGGTTTCGAGTTTCGGGTTTCGGCACTTGAAACTCAGTGATTTGTGCAACAAGTGAAAAATGGAAATGTTATATACATATTTTCGGGTCTCGGGCTTTGGGCTTCGGCACTTGGCACTCGGCACTTGGTTATTTGTGTGATATAAATGAAAAATCAACATGTTGCACACTGGGTTTCAAGTTTCACGCTTTGGCACTCGAAACTCGGTGATTTGTGCAGTGAGTGAAAAATGGACATGTTGTGTACATATTTTCGGGTCTCGGGCTTTGGGTCTCGGCACTTGGCACTCGGAACTCGATGATTTGTGTGATATAAATGAAAAATCAACATGTTGCACACTGGGTTTCAAGTTTCACGCTTTGGCAGAACTCGAAGCTGTTGTGATTTAGATATCACCCAAAACCCGAACACCCGAATGTCAAATTTTCAGTGCCAAACCCAAGTGCTGGGTTGCCGGGTGCCGAGTCCCGAAACCCGGAACTCAGGATTTGACAATTTTGAGATGAACAAAATTTTTCAGACATGTTTGAATTAACCTACGTATATCTATAACATTTCACTAACCCCCGAACCCCGAAAGATATTTTTGTTGTCCTACATACCGAGTTCTGAGTTCCGAGACCCCTGAAACCCGGCAGTCCACAATTTCAGGTTTGGGGGTTGGTAAATGTGTATGGATATATGAAAGGTTTGATTTAAACATTTTTGAAAGATGTCTCATATCAAATGTCAAGTCCTGAGTTTTGATTTCCGGGTTTTGTGACTCCGGGTTTCAGGACTCCGGGCTTCGGCACTCGGCACTCCCGAAACCGAAATCAAAACTTGGGACTTGACATTTGATATGAGACATCTTTTAAAAATGTTTAAATCAACCTTCATATATCCATACACATTTTACCAACCCCGAACCCCGAATTGTGGACTGCCAGGTTTCGGGATTCAGGGGTCCTGGAACTCGGAACTCAGTATGTGAGACAACAAAAATATATTTCAAAAATGGGTAAGTCATGTGTTTGTCAATCAACTTGGTTGTAAATCAAATTTTATTGATCTCCCCAAATTTCCAAGTCCCAAGTCCCGAGTGTCCCACCCCCGAGACCCAGCAGTCCACAATTTGGGGTTCAGGGCTTGGTAAATCTCGGTTTGGGGTTTTTCCACTTCAGTCTCAATTATTGGTCAATGCCCACCTGGTTGATTCATGTTTTCGTGCTTAGGGGTTTAGATTCGGTGGTCGAATGGAGGTATTATGCCACTCAAGTGTACAGTTTGATTCGCTGGTGGCCACATCAGCTGTATGTTGATGTGAAACATCTCTAGGATCACCCCATAATGACACATCTATGTAACAATTCCCCCCACTTCAGCCCACCAATCTATGTAATAATCCCCCACCTTGGCCCACCCGTCTATATAATTATACCCCACCTCGGCCCACCTGTCTCTATGTTAAATAAATATTTTTCACACCTCGGCCCACCGTATATGTAATAATCCACACGGCTCCACCCTGTATATGTAATATGCCCCATGTCAGCCCACCCATTTATGTAATATTCCCCTACCCTGGCCCACCCGGTCTATGTAATACACCCCTGTTGGCCCACCCATCTATATGAACAATATTTGCCCTCCATCTCCTCAGACCAGGCTGTTCTAT